TTAAACAGCAGCAACATCATTACCCAATAAGGAGCAACTGGTGTGTGTGTTTGGTTTTTCCATTCTGGGCTACTGTGCAAACATGGTGGTTTAACATGGCTGCCTCAGTTCTTATTTTCAGGTCATTATACACTCATGAAAACATGCCTGTAAATATTTTTATTCCATTTCTGCCAACTGGATCGTCCTAAATGTTACACACTGGACTTTTTAAAGTTCAAAAGATCAGCGATGTGACTGCATTCAGACCAAAATAAGAATGCAATGAGCTGCGTTAGCGCAGTGCACAATCAAACACGATCCAGATTAGATTCGTGAGTTTGAATGTTTATCAGACAACTGTTTTTAAATCTATGAAAAATGATACAACTCTGGAAAGTTATCACGGCGGTAACCATTTTATGTTTTGTTGTGACAGTTGCCGGGTAAACAGCAGAAGTACTGCGTCATTATTACAAAGTGTTTGTACCAGTTTGGTTGGCCAACATTGCAGCAAACATAGAGCCGGGTTCAACTTTTTGCATGGGGCTAATGTAGGTGTGAACGTGGCCATCTTCCTTCCTTTTTTTGTGTGTGTTGCTGCACACAAAGGCGACATGGTATCCTTTGTGTACCTAAACTGCACTGCACACGCACTGTTACTCAGGAGATGTTTGCCTCCTCTCTCTCTCTGCCACAGTGGACTAGCGGAAATGACAAATCAGTGAAAACCAGACACCAGATTAATTATTAACAAATACTGTGGATTATCATTGATTTTCTGTGTGGTTTTTGTTACTGATAAAGTCAAACAAGCGCCTCAATTTCCACATTAACTGTGACATACAGTACTGTACAGCATATCCTCCTCACCAACTATATCCAACAGTCTTACTATCAATACAGCAACCCAGTGAGCCTTCAGAAAGCTTAGTTAAAGACCCCTTCACTACAGTAATTACTTTACATTGATTACTGGCTGCTATAAAATGGCTTATTACTTAAGATTCAAAACTAAATTACTGCAGGTCTTAAAGTTTCTATTTGAACGGGTTCACAAAACTTTAATATCACATTAGGTTTCATATCGAGTGAATGAGGTTTTGGTTACTAAGGAGGCATGAGTCAGTAGACTTATCATTGGAGAACATCCACCGCCAAAAAAGAAATGATGAGTTGCTAAATTAGATATTTCCAACAAGATCCATTTTACAAGCTCTCATTGCCCTTCTCCAAATAACACTGCTGCAGGGTTTTTTCAGATAATTGCTCCTTAGGCTCGAGCAGCCACCGCCGTAGCGAAGCAACCTTATAAAAGTGGGGACCTCTGCAGGGCTGCATCTGTCCGCTAACGGGTTTCTCCGGTGTCCAGTCTGCTTAACTTGTCTGCGGATTGATGTCTGGTTCAGCTCAGAGTCTGATAAGCCCAGAAGCAGAGACTACCTGTAAATGTCAGTGGATTGATAAAGAGAGTAAAGTTTATCGGGCTTGTGTGTGTGTGTGTGGGTGTGGGTGTGTCGGTGATAGAGAAAGTCAGCTTTATCAAGTTTATATTGTGTACGCACGCTTGCCAGTTTGTGCATGTCCCTGTGTGTCAGATAAACTCGGTGAAGTTTATCGAGGTCAAACAGACTGTTTCCTCCTCTCAGATCGGCACTGATTTGGCGCTGCAGTGGCGCTTGTACAGTCCAACCTCTCTAATCCATAAACACTTTGTCCAAACTGTTGAAACATGAAGATTACATAGGGGTCTGAAATGAACAGGTCCTCTGTACTCGTGTAAGTCCGAGCTCATCTGTAATGTAGCATGGTTGGACGTGGTCCATTGTCATTGTTTAATGAAAGATATTTTTGGGGAAATGCGCTTCTTTGCTTTCTCGCAGAGAGCCAGATGAGGAAATACATACTATTCCACATTTAATACCTGTCACTGACCTTCTGTTTGTCTGGGTGTCTGATATCCAATCCTTTTTTTTGTGAGATGCTTTCTTGTTTGTTTTTTTTGCATTTTTCTTTTCATTAAAAAAAGAAAATCTTGTGAACTCTGTAAACTTCCTGTCGCTGCCATAAATACAATGCACTTGCATTTCATATCTTAGTCTTATATGATTGTAAACTGAATATCTTTGGTTTTCAAACTACAGCTTGAGCACAAGCCATGTAAAGAGACTAACATGGACTCTGGGAGCTTGTAATTTTCTACTATTTTCTAAAATTCTATGCACCAAATGATTCATTGAGAATATACTCACTAGATTAATTGATAATTAAAATAACCATTAGTTGCAACCCTTACACTGTATCATAAGGGCTTCTTGGATAACCAAATTGGCTACCTGCTTGTGCATCACCATGCATATATTCATCCATTTATTCATTTAACAAGTCAGGAGAAAGTGTTTTCATTATAATCACATTATCTTTGAAATCTACATTTAATGGGCCCAAGGGGCAGTTAAAGCTTCATTGTTACCACTCTTTATGCAGTTCTTCACACGTTTCCATGCATGTCTGTGCGATGTCATGTTATATGCTCAATTGCTCACGCTAATGTGTGTGTACGCATAATCAATGAGTGCTTGCATACATTTGTAAACCTGGTCCGCTCATGCGTGCACGTGTGTGTGGCCTCTATCTCATTAGTGCCCTTTGTCACCATTTGATCTGTGGCCTCCCTCCTTTTGGTTCATTGTGCTCGTATCACCAATGCATTAAGACCTGTGCACCGCATGGGAGGGTGAATTGGTCTGCCGGCTGTTGCTCTAGAGGCGGGGAGGGGGGTTGTGTTCGGAGGAGAAGAAGGCAAGAAAGGTTAAGATAAAGTTGCTTTGAACAAATCCTCTCTTTGATCAGGCGGCTCAGCGGTGAAAGGCCTTTCTTACAAAAGTCAGAGCCGGTGGAGAGAGGGGAGATGGAGATGCGTATTGTTGTTTCATCTCGCCTGTGTCTTTCTTTTTCCCTTTTCACACAGTTGTAAGCTGTGTGTATTCCCTGCTTCTTTGTTATGGAGAGTGCCAGGCCTCTCTTTCATGACTCCACACAAACACACATGTGCATATACAATGACTTAAAAGCGCCATCAACGCACTCACATCGGAATACTAAGAGTAATTGGAAATGCTGAGATGCAGCAGGGGTGTAACTGAAAGAAGACATTTTCTCTGCTCTCGCTTTTAGTGCTAAAATGATTTGTTGATTCATCCATTAAGTGAACAGAAAATGAAACTGCAACAACTTGGATAATCAGTTCACCATTAAAGTCATTTGTCGAGCAAAATTGCCCCAACATTTGTTTGTTCCAGCTTCTCAAATGTGTTTTATGTCTCTTTAAATTGTATGTATTTGGGCTTTGGACTGCTGGACACAAAAAAGCAACCTGAAAATGCTGTGTTGATCTTTAGGACATTATGCTGGGATTCTTCTATTAGTGAACTATTTTTAAGTTCAACAGTACCTAACACATCATATAATAAGAAAAAATATAAACCACTGATACCCTACAAGTCACGTCCAAACAAATACTGTATAAAACAGGATAGAGATAATTCCCCTTGCTTATTTTCTTAGCTTTCTCACAGCATGCCTGTTCTTCAACGTTAACAAAAAACATTTATTTCCTGCCAAGCCAATCGATTAAATCCTCCAATCCAACTTCATTCAACCTCAGGTTTATCGGTGCAGCATCCTAAAAGCACACCAGGAACTGTGGCAAGCAGCTTAATGGATGCAGTAGACACAAACACACAGGGATGATATATTGTGGGCTCTTTTGTACTTGCTCTTTTTTTTTTCCTCAAGCAAGACTCAGTATAGAAGGTGGCCACTGAATAGGAGTTGAATGGATGTTACCATGGATGCATTTATAGCCATTCACACACACTCAACTCAACACATAGTTACATACACACACTAACAGCTGTCATATTTAAGTGTCGAATATACATCTGCCTCTAGAAAGGGCACTTAGAGCAAAAACTCAATTCTATGATTCTTATTTCTCATTAAAACCTCAACTTATAGGCCATGCGAGGAGGTGCCTTTAGAACAAACGGGCACTGTTAAACTGTGGTCTTTTCATCCAATCACTCCATTAAGCCGGAACACAAACATTCCCACCACTCAGGCTTGTTGTCTAGACAACGATGCTGTGGGAGAGGCAACACATTCTGATTGGACAGTTACCTGTGTGGCCATACTTCATTAAAGTCATAAAATGAGTATTCTAGTGTGGCTCTAGGGATGGCAGCGTTGATCTGAACATCGCTCTGGTCCAGACTGAAATATCTCAACAATTATTGGATGCATTGCTATTTATTTCAGACTCTGATTCATGGTCCCCTGAAGATAAGTTTCTCCTCTATGGATTGACACAAGTTTTTGTACTAATAGCAAACATTATCATGCTAACACATCAGCAATATAGCATCCATGTTTGCATCCTAAAGTTAGCATTTAGCTCAAAGTACCAGTGTTTTTAAGGGCAGCCTCCCTCAGTTAGTCTTGTTTGATAGGAAGCTCTCATAGCTCAGATGTGATCTATTGATACGAGCTATCTCAAAGGCCATACACTCAGCTTAACATTTGTGTCTGCACTGTGCACCAATTCTTACTTTATAGCAGATACAAGAGACAGATTGTTATGCAGACACACATAACAAAGTGAAATATTTGTGCTATTTAAAGTGGACTAATGATACCAGCCTTGAAAGGATTTTATGTTTGCCAATTAAAGAAATAATCACCAACTGAAGTGTCGTCGTCAAAGCAAAAAAGGGCTGCGATTAATGATTTAAACGCTAGAATTAAAATGTAGAATCAGAGAGTCTAGTGCCTGTATGTGGTGAATACTGAAACAACCAGTGCGTGAGTCAACAGCAAATATGCGGAAACAGGCAAAAGGTTTTCACTTTGTTGCTGTGATGTGGTGCAGAATGAAAACGTTCACATGGACTTCCATAAATAGACATGTGTAAGCAGACCGACATTAACCCTCAACACATTGTCACCTTGTTGTCTTGCAGATAGCAGAAGCAGCCAAGACTTCCTCTCAGACTGATGACTTGTACCTGGATGACACAGGCTCAGGAGGATACTACCCTGAAGATGATGACGACTTTAACTCAGGGTCTGGCTCAGGTGAGTCCCATTTACACACAACACACACACACACACATACACAAAAGCAGACTTGGGTAAAGACACACATGCTCAGCAGGCAACTACTCAGAGGCGTGATGACATTCATTTTCAAGTCTGCAGGTATGTTTTAATGAACACGAGGTTTTTCCATCTTTCACCAGCAGACTAAACTTGTGTCATCACTTCCTTCCTCCACCCTCTTTATCGCTCCCCTTTCTCTTGCTCTCTTTGTCTGTTGTTTCGCCGCCTCTCTCTTTCTCTCCCTCGATTTCAATTGAGATTGCCTTGTCACCCTGACTGCCTTGAGCAAAGCGTGCACATTTTACGTGTCTTTTTTTTTATTAGCTTCTCTGCTCTACTCGCTTTAAGCACCATTAAAACGCTCGTTCCTTCGTCAAAAGTAACTCTTCTTTCTGAGAGAGTTGTTTCACTGCAGTGAGAGAAGGTCATGCAAGGTGAAAGGAGACGGGACTGTGATCAATAGCTCTTACAATACTGTATATATGACCTATTACTCTGCTTGCCACTCTCTATTCTATAGGAGATTCAAACTGTAAATAATACATTACAATTAAATCCACAGAGTGTGAAGATAAGTAAGACAAATTGTACATATTTGCACATACACACAAAACAATCTTTACATTTCTCACTTTATTTATAAATTGAATTATTGTCCCTACACGTGCTGCAGATTTACCGAGCAAACATTTTACACCCTGCCCTTTAATGGAGAGACATTATTCACCTGTCGCCTTCTTTCTCCCAGGTGGAGGTGAAGAAGTGATGGAGGAAACAGTGACTGTCAGTGTGGTTTATATCGAGCCCAATGCAGCAGAACCCACCCAGGACTCCACCAAAGATTTCACCCCAAGGGTGGAGACAGCCACGGTCAGAGAAAAGGCCAGGGACAGCACACCCAGGAAACCACTCAGAACAGAGGTAAGAAATGTAGCCCTACCAATACAGGATTTTTGGGGCTGATACCGACATTTATATTTGAGAGAAAATCTGATGACGATATACACCGATCAGCCATAACGTTATGACCACCTGGACACCCTGGTGGTCATAATGTTATACAGCCCCATACCCAAGAGCCAGGCTAGCATTTTCCCCCTGCTTTCAGTCTTCAGCTAAGCTAAACCTCTCTCTCTCAGGACATGAGAGTTTGAGCTACCTCTAAATCTTGGTAAGAAAGTGAATAAGCACATTTCCCAAAATGCTGAATTATTTATTTAAGTAGACATTTTGTACTTGACAACTTATGTGATACTGTTAATGCCCTGAAGTATTGCAGTACAGGGTGTTCTAAACGGCTTAAAAGATCCACAATCAATTTTTTTAAAGTATGTTTGACTACTAAAAATAGAGGAATCTATTAAGATATCACATCCATAAACAATTTCTACATGTCTTCTAGTGTGAATCTCTGGCCATGTGCTTTAGTGTAACCAAGTTTATTATATTATGACATTATGCAACTTCAAATCATTTATAATCATGGTGGCACATTTTTAACTTTCCTGACTTGACAGAGAGCGACACAGTACCTCTCTATGTCTTTGCCTGACCTAGTATGCATCAAATCCCCTGTAATACTAGGAACCGTGAGGTTGCTTTCAGGATAAAGATCAAGTGCTCATGTCAATTCTCAATGTTTTCGCTCCATTGCAAATTATGGAGGATTACATCTCTCTCGGACATAATCACATATTCTGGAACCATCCTAGATCTCACTTCTGTGTTTTACTCTTACTGTACTGTACTGGATACTACATCTGTTTGGGATTAGTCATCAAGGTCTCAACCCTCTAAGCCAAGCCTACCTGGCCCTGTTCCATTTTTTTCCTCTTGCCCCTGCCACTACTTCCTTAGCCAAATACACTGGCTCTGTTCCATTTTGGTCCTTTGCTTCCTTCTCTAGTGTTATTGGAAAAAAGCATTCCAGATACTTTGCTTCTTTTCCTAGACTCCAAAAAAAAACCTTGGGGTCACTGGCTTGCTTTTAAGCCTATTTTTCTTTTTAGCCTTCCACTAATCTTTTTGGGCAATCTGGATTTGTTCCATTTTTTTCTCTGATCTGCCTCTATAGCATTCACTGGCCAGGTTCCATATTGCGGACCAGTGAAACCCTCACATTTTTGTTAAAAATAGTTAAACCTTTTTTTAATGAAATACACTTATTTGTTTTCTTACCAATAGTTAGATTAGAAGATTGATACCCATCACGTGTCTATGTTGTATAAGAAGCTATGGCCAGCAGCTCATTAGCTTAGCTTAACATAAAGACTGGAAATAGGAAAACAGTTAGCCTGGCTCTATCAAAAGGTAACAAAACCCACCCACCAGAACCTCTAAAGCTCACTAATTAACACAATATATCTTAGTTGTTTGTATCTTGTTTGTTGTGGGAGTATTTCTTGGCCAAGTGCAGTGGAATCCTGGAGTCTTGTAGAACCACAGATTATCTTTTTTTTACGGATCAGTTTTTGTGTAGTTAAACAAACAGATATAACCTGTTAATAAGTGGGCTTTATAGGTGCTGGTAGGTGGATTTAGTTACTTTAGGACCGCGCCAGGCTTGCTGTTTCCCTGTTTCCAGACTTTATGCTAAGCTAAGCTAACCTGTTGCTGGCTTTAATTTCCTATTGAACTGACAGATGTGAGGGTGATATCAAACTTTTCATCTAACTCTCAGCAAGAACGTAGGCATATTTCCCAAAATGTCAAGAAAGTTCTTAAATATTAAGTTATGAATGCACCATGGGAGGAATTTAGGGATTATGCCTGAACACCTGAATGAACTCAAGTCATCTAAACACGCAGAAAAAGAATATTGGAGGACAGAATGTGAAAAGTCAGCTGGCAATAAAACAACCGTAATCTCTCTTCTTCCTCTTCTGTTTCTCTTCCTGTCTCCCTTCTTCTCATGCAGGCACCAGTGCCAGTTACAGAGGACATGCAAAGGAACCAGATGACTAGTACAACTAGTGCCCCCGGTTCACCCCAGGAGGCCATCGAGGTCCGCACTGAAAACCTCTTCCAAAGGACAGAGGTGTTGGCAGGTATGTGTCGTAATGAATAGTAGAAATACATGTCTTATTGTACTTCAGTTTGTGCTCTAAATTAAGTTTCCGTAATATATTTGGACATTGGCTGGATTGCATAGCAACTTTTCTATCAAAGATAATGCCCAGATCTCTTTAATGTGACTCTGAGCCCAGATATAATGAGGGCTGTCTTAAAGGAATAATTCTACATTTTAATTGCACATATTAGCTTTCTTGCTAACAGTTAGATGAGAAGATTGTTTGTATGTCTCTGTCTGTATGGTACACATCAAGATCCGCCAGTACATAACCCCCTGTAAAACCAAACTTTGTAGTTTTCACACTTTGGTTTATGTAAAAATTAAACATCGTAGGTAAAATTTCTTGATTACTGAGCTTTAGAAGTGCTGCTAGAGGGAATTTGTTACCTTTAGACAATTCCCCTGATTCCAGTCTGTATGCTAAGCTAAGCTAACCGTCTCTCAGCCTCAGCTTCATATTCATAACTCTTGAAAAGAAAGCATATGTCTCAAAATGTGGAATTATTCCTTTAATATTTGAAGACTTGAGCTTTCAGTTTGATGCTCAACCAATAAATTCACGTTAACTGTGTTTATTTAGTTAACTGTCTAATGTTTCTCAAATCCCTATAGCCTACGATTTTTCAGCTCAGTCTCGGAAATCCTGGAAAGAAATGACTCTAATGTCTAGCCCACCTGAACCACTTCTCAAAATAATTACTTTTAATAAACTCCATCTGCGTCCCTCCGTGGGACCTTGTAGAGTTCACAGCCTTGTGGGTGTTTCAGTGTGTGTGTCGCTCGCTTTGAATACATAAGAGGGTGGAAAGGAAATTATCGGATTCGGAATCACTGTGCTCTCTGATGCCGTCTCTCTTTCCCTGCGTGTCTGAAGCAAACATTGATTGGCACCTCACTTTTACTTTGTTGTGATATCCATCTGGTGGTGGCAATATGCGGAAACAACATCAACAAGGACAAATCAGGACAGGCTCAGTTAGATGAGAACTCAGCTCACATCTCTCTCCTATTGATGGTCTCGTTTCATCATTTGCATATTGTTGTTGGACTGTGGTAGAAAGAAAGAGCATTGCTTGTAAAAAGATCTTTGGATAAATCTTAAAGTAAATACAAATATCCTCTACCTGGGTCACGTTCGCTGATCTCTCCTTTCTCTAGCACGTCCTACCCTTCTTCTAGATTATAATCATTACTCTTCATCTCCCTCATGACTTCTATAATCATAATCTAATTTTCATTTATTCGCTCTGCATTGCGTTACTGCTTCTTGGAGCCTCAGCAGCAGGGTGTGTGCCATGATCTACCCATGGGACTGTGAGGCCAGTCAACATGTGGAAATGTAAAGTGGAGCAGAGGGCAAACTGTAGCACCAGGAGAGACCTTAAACAGATTAGGAAGCTATAAAAAAAAAACCCATACAGGCATAATTGGGAGGGAGAGTGAAATTGGCCCATGTGGCGAGTTAGGAGCATTAGTGAGGAGAGTCAGGGTCAAAGCTGGAGGGGAGGGGGGGTATTTCTTAATACAGCCCGGGTGGACTTTATTCAGATATACCTTAATGCTGTTGGTGGTGTAGCATACAATGTGTCCTTTATGGAAGTTTAACCCAACAATGACCTTTCTGCATGGATATCTGCTGGGTTCATGGATCTAGGATGTCCAAGTTCTTGAAAATATCCACAAACAAATCAGCCAGTTCACCCTTGCACGATTGTCACAGCTTGGCACAATGCATGGTCACACCTGACCCACAACACCCTACACCATATCTGGCAACACATACCCAGCCCACATTGACGTGTGGTGAAACATTTCTCAGACAAGAACATGACCTCTTGCACATAACATTACAGTGCCAACATCATAATTTGTCACAAACTTGACAAATAAAGTCTACTACAAAAACGATTCCATCCCTAAAAGGATGACTTCCAATCAGAAGAACTCATCAGAAATGAAGGACCTTATGGCTGGGTGTCTTTCTGTGTCGCTGTCAATATTTAAGACTTGCGATGAGATTTATCAGCCAATTCAGGAATAGAAATAGGATTTACTTTGAGCCATGCTGGACTGGTTGCTGTTTGTTTGTCCCCATTGGATTTATTCGACTGCTAAGCAATGGGACCAATACCATCAGCTTCTTCCTCTTAAGCCCCAGTCGGCAGTCACTGATTGGAATACAGACCATCGACTCAGCCATGCTTGGACAACACGCCTCTGTGTACCAATCAAGGATCAGAGCCTTAATATCCTATAAATGGAACACTAACTTTTAAACTCACCAACAGGACACACGTTAGGAGACGTGAAACGACCCACATAGAGTGGTTGACTTTTGTATCTCTCAAGATAAATTGAGGGTTTCAACATTCAGCTGCGACGGCTGCCACTTGGTTTCACCACATATAAGCCTTCAGTTTTGATAATTTGCTGGGGAGTTGCATCAGAATTGAAATGTGCTGCAACAATTCACAACAATAACAGATACCGCTATAATTAACGTGTGTTGTAATTGATTGCACAAGATTCACTGTAAGACTGTAAGGAGACGCCCAGTTCATGAGGAGGGCACTCATTAGGACGCATTCAGGGACTGTCTGAGCATCGATAGTTACCTCCCCTTTTCTGTCTATGCCTCTCTCAGCTGTTATTGCAGGTGGTGTGATCGGCTTCCTGTTCGCCATCTTCCTCATCCTCCTCCTGGTCTACCGCATGAGGAAGAAGGATGAGGGCAGCTATGACCTGGGAGAGAGGAAGCCCTCCGGCGCAGCCTATCAGAAGGCCCCAACCAAGGAGTTTTATGCATAAAAGCCGGCCCCTCCCGTCATCAGAACGACAAATCGCGAGTGACTGTCAGAAACAGTCCATGGCAACAGCGAACCTGTTCAAACACAACAAGAAACAAGTTGATTAAGGAAAAATAGCATAAAGGAACGCTTTTGCATAGAGTATTGTAATTAAGACCTTTTCTTTTCTTTCTTCTTTTTTTTTTTAAAATGAAAACCAAGCATTTCTCATTTTATGGCGAATCTCAGTGTATTTAAACATTTTGTGTATTATTTGAAAAGGCTGAAAAAATAAAAACAGGATCTGTAAAGGCGAGGAAATTAATCGCGTCTGTCTTCTGTCAAAGGAGCTGTTTTTAGTCGCTGACTACTTTTAACTGTAGCAGTATGTTATTTGTAAAGAAAAAAAAATTTAAAGTGGAAATAATTGAATATAATTATTCTGTATCAATCTTACTTTCATTTTTTTCTTTTTATTTTGTCCTAGCATGTCTGATGTTGATCTCTAAAGGTGTATTACATTAATTTATCTTTTCTCTGATGTTAAAAAAATGCCTTTGTAGTTTTGATGAAGCTCTTTGGTCTTCATATTAACGCT